AAAAAAAAAAACAAACCCGCCGATGAAGATTCGGGGTATATAATAGCTTTTGTGCGAATATAAGAATATATTATTAAGAGGACGCCCACTCCAGAAAAGAATTTCTGAAATTAATGGGTACGAAATATTAATTAACATAAAAACAAGATGAGACCTTCTGAAAGAATAGCTAAAACTGTTTTCTCAAGACAAGCTATAGTAGAAGAAAATATGAAAAAAAACTTACAAGGCCAAATTTGATTTTAGTGCCTCCTTCTGGCAGTCGTAATGTGCTTACTTCTTTCCAACGGGTTTCGCCGTTCCGTGCTTTCACAATCACACGTCTAAGAGAGGTAAATCTCATTCACAGTATAAGTGAAACCTTTTCGTTAAAATTAAATTAAACGCAAGAAATCTGAAAACGACAGAAAACCATGATATGCGATACTAGATAGTAATGAACGGTGTTCCCAAAAACAAAAAAAAAAAACGATAAAGACAACATTAAATGGCAGTACTCTACAAAAAAAAAGCAAATAAATTTCCTTTGGCACCGAAACGTAAGATTAAACAGAAATGAGTGAAAGCCAAGCGTCATCTGAATCGCAAAAATCAATTGAAGTAATATACGTCTGAAAAAGCCATTACTGAAAGGTTTGCCATTGAAACCGTTTTTAAAACACCTCAGCTCTCATCTTAAAACAAAGATCAATACAATAAAATGTATTAAACTTACGTTTCTCAGCTACGTATAGTACTCTTCTTGCCTAAATAAGCAGCAGAAGACAAAAAATTTTGGAAAATACTTAAAACTGTCCCTCATATTCCTTACCTATTCGTACTCTGATACCTTTTAATCTGCTGCAAAACCTAGCCTAAGTAGCGAGTCAAACAACTAACAGTTCTACCTAAACATGATACGTGAAACACAAACTGGAGGAACGCCAAGCCTGTTGAACGAAATTCGCAGTCCCGAGACAGAAGGTTAAGCAAAATGCAGCGTAATTCAAGCTCTTAACTTAGGTATTCCTATGAGCAAACTCGACTTATGGAAAATACCATGTTTCTAGCAAACCATTAGAGGAAAAACAGCAAAAGAACCTTTCACAAACAAAAACAAAGATACGTCATCTTCCAATGGCCTTAACACATGCGAAGGAGGTTAGTTAGGCAAAAGGTTCATTATTTTTACAGTAGTATCAGTTAAAGATCTTGCAACATGTTGCAGGGCCAAATGCTTCACGATTCTAGGTTGAATGGCACTTACAGTAATCTAGGAAATATGAATTTCCTGGACCTTTTACAGTCGGTAGGTGTGCACACAAAACTCTGGTAAAACTTTGTGAGAAGATTTTATTCTTTATTCTTTTCAGAATAATTTTCAGTTTTCAAAACTATATCTGGTAAAAAAATATTAAAAATCCAAAGAAAAAAATCAATGAAAACATTTGTACACCTAACAAGTATGAAAGCTCTTCCTTTCTCATCTCAAGGTAAAAAAAGCACTTTCCATTTGAAAAAAATAAGATTTCTTGACCACAGTCAACAAAAAAATTTCCAAGAAATCAAGTTAATTCCAATAATTAGTTTTTTCTTTGGAAGTTTCACCATACCTCACTTGTCTACAGCTGGACTACTACCTGCCTAAAAAAATAACCTTATGGAATTCCATGCTCTCCGGCTGCTAACATTCCAAAAAACAGCACTCTACTTAGGTAAAAGACACTAAGTTTTTTAAGAAACAACATTGTAAAAAGCTTTACTCCTTCCTCTCGTTATACGCCTATCTGCAATCTTATCGGTTTCGACAAGAACGAGGATACTCCACACTGTCTTTTGCAACATGCCTCCTGAACTGAAAACTATCACTACTAAAAACGTTCCTTCGACAAAACTGGAGAAAAGTTCGGTTTCATGAAAACACAAGAAGAATGACTTGTTTCAAAGTTAGCATGAGCAGTTTTTTTAAGCTGTTTTGGGAAGAACCCTTGTTTTGCTTCCTCATTTTCCTTTCCCTATCCTAAAACCAAAATCCTCCCAACTGATCCTAACTTACCCACCTTCCTCTAACTTTATAGGTCCAGTTACATATAGAGGAGTTTATTTCTAAAGTAATGTAATATTTTTCGGGAAGTAAACATCCTTCCTAATGGATAAATCCTGGCGGCTTTGGCACAATGTCACTGTGCAATGTGGATGCATACGGAGATGATCAGGGCGAACTCCGTAAAAGTATGCCAAACTTCTAAGTAACTTGTGTAAATAATGCGCAGCTAACTGTATATTATTTATTAAGGTCTTATCTGTTTGCGTTTACAATTTCATGATTTAAATTTCATTTTCAGCCGAGATTTCAGCCAAAATGTAAGAGTAATTCCAGTTTTTCACACAAACCTTTTAACAGTATTACCGCAATAACTTTGTCAAGTGTCCATCTATCTTAGTTTTATTTCGGATACTGTAATCTACATTCAAAGTATTTTCAGGAAATGTGAAAAGTATCGCGACCGCTAACGAAATGGGAAATTAAGATCGCGGTAGCTTCCGGAGGGGTTGCAGACTGACTGCCTCCGCGGGCAAAAGCGAGGTATAAAAGAGGCAGGAACCAGGAAATTGGTCATTGTTGTTGTTGCTACTGCGATTTTAATCCAAATCGTGCTTCCGACCAATACTGATTGCTCATCGGCAACCATCTACCTCAGTTAATATCACTATTTTCTGTCAATACTTGCCCAGTAAGCAGCTTCTGATCTGTTTAATTAACCTTAAGTTGTTCTCATTTATAATTTATATTTCTCTTCTTAGTGTATTACTCAGTGTGGACTAGTGTCAACCAGAATTTCTATTTGTAAAATGTAAAAGTGAAGTAAGAATAAAAGGATTTAAGTACGAGAAAGGGCTCTAACATAGTAAGAAGATATTATCCAAGAGATACATAAGGCGCCAAGGTATAGGAGATCAAAGAGACAGAAGTCGAGGGTTTCAAATTAATGAAGAGTCTATTGGTTGGTACTTTGGCGAGTACGGGCTAAATTACATATTAGAATATCATATTAGAATATTAGAATATTATATTGCTAAAGAGCCCTTTATTAGAAATGTAGGAGGCTTACTGCCGTAGCGAATCTTCATTTCCGGAAGGTGTCCGTTAGCCACAACAAAAAGAACAAGAGAAAATTATTGGTAGTTGAGAAGGACGGCCATGAAATGGCAGGAAAAAAAGTACAGTAGCTTAGTAGCTAAGAAAACTTTAAAAAATATTAGTAGAAAGTAGCGAATACTGTGAAATTGAAAACACGTATCGCTCTAAAAAAAATGAATCTCAGTTGCATATCAGACAGAAAAAAATACATTAAATTACAATCAATTGAGACCTGCTTTCCAACTTGAACGATACATTATTTAGAAAACTGCAGGCTTAATCTTGGAAATAACTTTAAAAGATCAGGTAAACACTTGGTAAAACTCGAAATTGAAAAAAAAAATTGTAGGTTGCTAAGCAAAACAAAGTTATTTTTACTCCAAAATTAACAAAAAAAGTAAACCAATAAAATTAACACAAAAACACATTTTGGCTAGTAACTCAGCGAGGAAACCATATTTTAGCAATGTTTAACAATCCACTTGTTACCAGAAATCTGACGATCAGAATGACGACAAAACCACTACAAATTTTTCGCAGCTAAACTGGTAAAACCACCCTAATTTGGATATGAATCTACACTTGCCCAGTTGCTAGCCGGCCGTGTTACTATAATTGTGGTCCCGCCGCGACAGATATTTTCACGCCGAATCGGGAATGAACGGCCGTATAGCTGCCCATAACATTGCATTGGGAATATGCCAAACCGCGACACCATCAGACGAACATTTCCAACGGGATAAATTTTAAAGTTCACAAATCATGTAGATGGATGAATCACCGACATCCGAACTGTCGAGGGCGGATGAATTTTATTGTTCAAAGAAAATCTTTATAAATTGTCTCGTTCACGTCTCTATATTTAGAGTGGAGAAGACTCGCTTTGTTCTCTGCTTGGGATTTTTCCAACAGAAAGCGTTGTCTCAGCCGGTGGGATTTGCTGTGTACTGAATATCCAGTTGTTCTACTTTTGAGAAGTTTTTTTCTTCATAACACTGTAAAGAAAATAATTCTAACTTTGATATTCTACAGCTGTTTATTTCGTTACTCTATCGACTTTAGAAGGTGTAATTTACTAGAAGGTGTAATTTACCAACTGGTCTGGTGGTAGTCAACATATTTCGAAACCCCCGACGTTTTTCTTAGTTCAAAGTGCAATGATTGTTTTCGGACCATGCAGCAGCATATTTCGAAACTGAAATGGTGTTTTGGGTGGCATATTTCTTTAGGTGAAAAACAAAGCACCACGTCTCCAATACTACTCTTTTTCAGTGTTTATAAAGGTTTTTTTGATTTGCTGCTTCTTTTCAAGGGTTCTTAAGTAGCACTTACAGGGTCGTCTAAAGTTCCTAGATGTTAAGCATCTGTATTGATGGTGAATTTTCATGCTGATCCTTTCTTTTGGATTTTTGACATATTTTACCTAGTTAAGAGGACTTGCGTTTTTTAAAGATGTTTTTTGGAATCTTAGAAGGAGTAAGCGGATGTTGCACCTACCATCTATAAAAGTTCTGCGAAGAAGAAAAGTGAGTCGTAGTTGTCAGAGGCAAAGCACCAAGGGCATTCGTAGAAAACAGAACTAGAGCAATACCGGCGTGAGGGCTTTCAGAGAATATTTTTTACGCTATTGTATCATTGTTGAGAAAGATTTGGAGCCGAACGCTTTTAAATCTGGCTTATACAATTAACTTTTAATCCCCTTCGTCAGGTTCGAAAACTTCCCTGAAACACAGAGTTTCTTCTCTCATAATTCTGTTTGAAATCTAGTAAAGTGATGTCGAATTCAGAAAATAAACCTTTCTTATTTAAAACTCTGATAAGTGCGTTTCGTTGACTACACCATTGGCGGTACAAAGTAAGTCTTGATTTAGGTTCCTTATTCAGCTCATATCTTGGTTTTTTTAAGATTTCAGCAGGATTTAGTAGAAGCACAGTCGTGTAGAAGGACAGAATTTAGCCAACGCTCTAGGTTTTTCTGCTAAAATCTTTGCTTATTAGTATCGTTTTACTTGGCATTACCTTTTAAGGCCCTTTCGATATGTAGTAAGCCATATAGCGCTTTGATTAGCATTTTTTGAAAAGTTGTTTTTTCTAAAGACCAAGTTGGTACACCTGAGTTCTGAGGAAAACCTGGTGTCGTAATCGTATTAGTCTTACTCTTGTTCCCACTGAAGTCAAAAAGGTTCTCATTCGTTTTCAGCCGCTGCGCAATAATGTTACTTCGTTTATCTAATTGTTATGTTCGCTGTGTGCAAGTGAAGTCATTCGCCAATGCTGCTAGGCAGTTCTATACAAATTCGGTTCGAGCAACCAGAGGTTCTCCTGGACGTCATTTTGCACAACAGGTTCTTTCTTTTTGAAAATTTACGGAGGTTTTTGCACCGAGAATTGATTAAGTAAAAAAAATTTTACATTATTTTCTTACCTTTACTACTCTCACCTTGTTTAACAGCTATTTACTGTTTCTGGGATTCTTTAATATAATAATTTCAACTCTTTTGAAACGGAAGAAAGCCTTGTGAGTAACATTTATAGGAAAACTT